CTTAACATGGGGGAAAGGAAAAAAAAATTGACTTTAATGTCACTTTAAGTAAACCAGGCCCCAAAAAATAGGGCAATCAATCACAGAAGAAAGTATTAATAAATAAAGATGAAGACACAATAGTAACATTTTCTCATCCTTGCATGCTGTACTAGAGTCTATGCAAGAATTTGTTTTATAACTTCCTTCTGTAGGATGCACTTCATCCTAACTCAATGAAAGCTTAGAGTCGCACAACATGCTCTAGACCAGTGGTTCTCAACTCGTGGGTCGCGACCCAAAAGTGGGTACAGCTTTTACTCTGTCACCACTTGTATCATAGCATCCTTTGAACCCAACAAAAACACTACCCAACATAGAGACATTTTTGTTTTGGAGAGAAAAGGGGGAGGGTGCTGAGATTTCAACAGAACTATTCTTATGACATCTAAATAGCCCCTGTGTCTCTTATCCTCCTGAAGAGGCAAGATGAAAGATGAGCATTTTTCATGAGACTTAATACTAATGGCTATTTAGCTTTCAGCATATCTTAAGTAACCAAACCCATTAGTTCAGTGTGGGTCTTCATGCTTATTGCATATGTGACATTTCAAATATTTTATAGCCTGGCCTATTCCAGTAGCAAGACGGAATACAGTGGTCATATTTTACGTGAAGTTCTCTCTTAAACAGTACTAATACAATAATGCATACACACTGTATTGCTTTCTGAAGTCAACTGACACCCTCTAACCCTTTCCTTGCTAAACGTGGCTGTGTTACACCACCACAAGGAGGAAGAAGCCTGCTGCGGCTTGCACGGATTAATTCTGGATAACTTTTCAGAATATAGATCAGGAAGGAGGCAAAGAATTTAAAGTTGTAAGAGCGTGTCTAAGGTATTAAACGTATATTTGTTGATGCGGCTCTATACGTGAGTCAAGCTCTTTTGTGTTGTTCGGAAATCTTGGCTGATTAGCAGAACATTCTTGTAATAACACCTCTGAGCTGGGGCACAAGGAAGCCTCTCACAGCTCTCCAAAACATTGATGGGAAGGAGACACATATAAACAATACCTATCGCGGCTTATCTGAGATGACAAAGCCTATCCCTGCTTTTATAATAAATATGCACTGACTTGTTTGCGAGTCACTTTATCAGCTGGGATTCCAAGGTGGGATTGGCAAGACGCCAAGTACAATGTTAGAGGGAGTAGCAGACCAGTTTTAAACTTTACAAAAAATAGCTGTCTTACAAGGAAAGGAAAGGGGGGAAAAACACAAGAAGGCTGCTGGGAGGGCTGCACAGAATATAACCTTAAATGAACGCACATTCCTTCTTAATGTTCCAGTTTAGCTCTTGTTAACCTGAAACTTGCTCAGTGTCGTCCTTGCTTGGTAAGGTCACTGATCAATATTCCAAGAGGCTTTGGTGGTCACAGAAGCCAACTATATACCAGAAATCAAAGGAGTCAATGTGGCTTGTATTAGATACCCACAGCAAAACATGATTGCTATGTCTATGGGCACATAAAAACACCCCTGGCTGCTTTTTTTTTTTACAGGGGATAGGTTGTTCAGCAGTTCACTACTGCGTCTCTAACATAAGACCAACTGGGGGCATAGGTAAATAAACATGCATGGCCAATAATTTTAAAAATATGATCATTTTTGCATCAGGTGGTGCTTGCACATCTCTGCCATATAATGTCTATGGCCAACTTTGAGCCACCAGTAACAATGAAGGGCATATGTTACATTTAAGGCTACCTTGGTAGCGCAAGCCATTTTGTAAATAATTTTTTTCCCTCTCTCACAGATTTTCAAGAGACTGGGGGCTTTGGAAGTGTGCAATCTCTTATCAATATATCAAGACAAATGAAACAGTTTATGTGCACAGGTTTTTATTTTTCCTTTACTCTCTGAATGCTGTCACCAAGTCCCCAGCCCATTTAATTTTCCTTTAGTTTGCCTTCATGCATCTACCATGAGTGCGATCAGGTACAGTGTTATACCAAACAAAGCATATTAGCATTCTTTTGGATGTCCATGATCCTAAAAACTTTCTCACAATTGGCTGGCTGGGATCACATGATTTCTAAGCTAAAAATAACGGTCTTTGATAGCCTATGTTCTCTGTGTTACAGAATGTATGCTTCCCCACGCTGTACTGAAGGCATGAACTGCTTAGAAAAAAAATGGTTCCTAGCACTGAATTTCCAAGGTATAGCGAGCACTAACATGTACTTTTATTATAAAGTGAACTAATTTTTAAAAGCTGCAACCCAGCTACATTATACATATTGCTATTACCGCTGGCAAAACTGGCACACCTTGCATTATCTGATGGCTCCCAGGCATCAAGATCCTCAGGTAGTTTTTTTTTTGTATAATATGTTTTTATGGAGTACGTTTTTCAATTAAGAAGACAAAAAATACATTACAGAAGCCAACATTCAGGGGAAGACAATTGACAATAGAGAGATCACATTACATACAGCAGGACATGCAACAATGTATATCGGTCAAACTCTAAGATTGTGTCCTGGAGTAGGAAACTTGGGCTCTTTAGGTGTGATCATGGGAAGTTGGGAGGAGGAAGGAGGGGAGGGTGAGGGAGGTTTAGGATTAAAACCGACATAAGGAAATGGGGGGGGGGGGGTCCTCAGGTAGTTTAAGTGTTACTGTATTACAGCCTTGTATAACAGAAAGGCACAAAATAAAAGTTATTTAACAATAGGGCCTCATTCACACGAGACAAAGCCAGCACAATATAGCTCCGTGCACAGCCGTATCGGGCAGCTCCCGGGTAGGACAGGTGCTGCGTGTGATTAGTACGCAGCCCCTGTCCTTCTCTATGGGAGTACGCGGCAATACGCCGCCCTACACTCAGCCCAAGTGCAGGTCTGTACAGGTGCGGGTGTCCCGGCTCGGACGCAGACAGGATCCCTCCTGTCAGCGTATGAGTACTGACACCCGCACGGAGCACCTGACATACCCGGGAGCTGCCCATTACGGCCGTGCACGCAGCAGTACGGTCCGGCTTTTTCCCGTGTGAATGAGGCCTAAAGCTGATACAATAGTCTGATATTTATTTTCTGGAAAAAAAGTTAGCATATATTTCAGCTGCCCCGCATCAGTGGCTTAGGATACACACGTGCCTTTCAGCAGGCTATTAGATCATTACATTTTTGTCTCAACACCTGTTGCATTGTGCACTTTTCAGTATCGCAAAACCAAACTGGTTTTATTCATACCATTTAATTGAAATGTATAATTTCAGTGCTATACAAAGATTTTTCAGCATCTTCTTTCAATACACTTTCTTCATAAAAACCTTTTCATTACATTTACCAGTCTCCCACCCAGATATCATTCTTCATCCAAGATTATAACATTTAAGAAAAAACTCAAAGCAGATGCAGAAGAAAGGAAAGTCCAGAGAAATACTAAATATAAACCAATAATGATTTGCTGTCTGGGTTTGTGCAATAATAGCACAAGCAGAACGTCCTGTGCACGATCAGGCTTTATTACAGACTGCCCAGTCTGGTGAGAATCTTGGGCGGCAAAAGATTTTCCTTTTTCCTTTTCTTGATTAAAAATAGTGAATTCTGCCACATTGACACATCCTGGAAACACCGGTCTATGACCCTCGTAGGCCTCTGCCTGGAGTGGACTCTAGTCAGGGTCATGCAAGGGTAAAATCACATACAGCACTGAGCAGACAGCCAGAATGTACTCTTGTGTATTGTCTATCTTCAAGCATACAGAAGTGGGGCACCCTGCAAGCTGGAACCTTTTCAGAGAAAAGCATCAGCATGTACACTGCCTGTAAGACAACATTGTTTGCAAGTTTGTGGTAAGGTGTGGTATGGTAAGGTGCATTCTGCATCAATTTTACCATTAATATTTCAAAAGTTCACTTCAGTTCCTGCCCCGCTGGAGTTTATACTCTAACATCTCTACTATAGTTACAAACAGTGGCGTCACAAGGGGGGTGCGGGCCTGCACCGGGTGACACCATTATAGGGGGTGACACCAAAATTACCAACAGTCATTTTGGTGTTACCCCCTCTGAAAAGTTGGGCACTCGGTCATGGACCGAGTGCCCTACAGCTGTACAAGAGAGAAGGGGGCCCGGGGGCATACCTTATCCTGCCGGTTGAATGTCCCCTCCTCTCTCTGCCGGCGTCCATCACCGAGATGGCTGCCAGCAGTTAAATGCACGCAACTTAATTACACGTAAATACAATGATGTCACAGGCATGCATAAGGACGCCCCGGAGGGTGACACCCAGCGACCGCTCCAGGTGACACCCAGTCTGGGTACGCCTCTGGTTACAAGTACAATCTTTTCAGCTATAGACTATTGACCCAACAGTATGTTTTTACAATTAGGAAGTAATCCAGCGCACGTACAGGTAACATGTAATATAGAAGGGCAATAGGACAACCACATAATCACACCAGTGCTACAAGGCTTGCGCACAGTGGGGAAATCCATAAATACTGGAGCAGACAGAAGCTGGAGTTGTTGCCCATGGCAACCAATTAGCTTCTATCTTTCATTTTAGAGACTGAAAAGAGAAGCTGATTGGTTGCCACAGGCAACCGCTCCAGATCATGTCAGCTCCAGTTTTTATGAATTCCCCCCAGTATTTTCATCCTTCCAGGCAGATACTGTAGTGCATTTAACTTAACTTACAAAGTTGAGCAAGTAGATTTACAGCTTTACAATAGACGAATGTAATTGTTTCATGTGAACCTATGACCAGACTATGCATATCAAAGTATTTACATATTTTGTAAATTCATTTGAAAACACTTTAAACCAAGCCTTTGTTCACCTCTGCAGCTATAGGCATTGTGGAGAAATGTGTTGTCAAATCAGAAGGCAAACAAAAACAGAAATCACAAACAGAATTCACAACTTCAACATCTCCAGGAAGCTTTTCTTATATCCTTTACATGGGGTAGTCATACATATTACAATTCTAAGTATTGTGGCATAACTGTACCTGTGTAGGAGCTGTCTTGAATTCATCTTTTGTGCCCATAATTTTCTGCAACTGCACAAATACAAAAAGTAGTTATTTACTGTGCATATCATTGTCATGACGTTCCATGCTTTTTACGGTTTCATTCAATAACTGAAACTCCTGTTCTTCTCAAAGAAAGACAGTTTAAAAAACGTTTTCAGCTAATATAACAGCAAATTGGAATAAAACTGTATTTTAAGCTCTGCTCCAACTTGATACAAAATATTGAAGATCTGGTAGGCCTGTGAACACGGTTTTATTGACCAGTGACTTAAAGAGAAACTATACCCATATCTTTAACTACCTCCCGGCCAGCCGCTGTGTATACACGGCCTGCAAAATAAAAATGTTTGTTCAGCCAATTAAAATGTAAGATGATTTAATGCGGAGCTGTATGCTATGTGATTTGTTGCCAAAAGGGGTAAAAGGTCCATTTTAAGGAGACATGCCCCTATGATTCTCCTAAGAACAAAAATAGTTTTGTTTCCTGGCTCAAACTACACACATTGTTAAAGTGACATTAAACCCTCAGATTTTTTTAACATAAAACAATACTGTAATGTGTGCCTTACTGTAATGGTAGTTTCCCTTCTCTTTGCTGCTCTTCCTTTTAAATCTGTATCTGTTCTCATGCTGGGCAGAACTTCTGTTTTGCAGCAGACTGCCTTGTCTGTGGAATGGATACATGGTGTCTGTGTATAGGTTTGTAACCTGAGCCAGCACTACAGGAAGAGGCCCTGAGCTGCAAAGGGAAGTTCTCCCCAAGCATGAGAAGACATGAGGATTTAAAAGGAAGAGCAACAAAGAGAAGGGAAAGTACCATGGATTACAGTAAGACACACATTACAGTATTGTTTTATGTTAAAAAATCTGAGGGTTTAATGTCACTTTAAGCTTTCCCACTTAGAATAATCATCTAAAATGTGGAAAAACATACATTAGCATGCAGCATCTGTAGAAGGCTACAGTGTGCATCCTGCCTTATGACTATGTCACATATGTGAGTATCCAGGTTGCCTCCTTTATGGAGAGAAATTACATTTCATATCCCTTATTAATGTAAAGTAACGGTCATGAAGAGCAGCAAGGAGAGGACAAAAAAAACATAAGGAGGTCTAGCTACAACTGCTCTCATAACCACTGGGAGATGCACTGGGAGAAGACAGAGGCTTGTCCTTAAAGGAGAACTATGGGGTTAAGGCTTTTCCCCATAGTTCTCCTTAGGGTAATGGGAGGACACAAACTAGGGTCCTCCCGTCACCCTAGGCTCAGTATACCGCCAGCTGCAGCTCGCGATATATTGAGACGCCGCAGTATACTGCGAGCTGCTGCTCGTGGTATACTGAGACGCCGCAGCTGAAGCGGATCCCGACAATTATGTCTGGATCCGCCCAGCTGCGTGACTGACAGCTGGCTCTGCCTATCTAGAGGCAGAGCCAGCTGTACCCGCCCCCTCCCCCGTCCGTTCCGCCAGTCAGCGCTGGCGGATCGGAGCGGGGAGGGGGGAATCCAGCCCCTCCCCTGTCACGGCAGAGAGC